GGAAAAGTCCGATCCAAGGAGTAAATCCAGATCCCGAATTGTCACAATTTTGGACTTTAAGGCTAAAGTTACCAAATTCTAGAAGAGCAAGTAAAATAGGAATCTCAATGGTGTCTTTCATTTTGTTTTTGCCCGAAAAAAGTAGTGGTTTTACGAGCATCAAAAGTATCAACTCGCAAGGTTCTTGTACTCCGTTACCCACACACTGCCCTCCCTCGAGGGATTGGATTCTACAATCGGACTTTTGGCGGTAAAAACCTTGGGCTAACTATGCAACTAACTGTAGTCAGTGAAGCCATTCTTGGTAAAAGTGTTACGAACAGGAATGGCTCCGGTAAACAATCCGATCTTATGTGTTACGCCAATATATAGCAGCACGTATTTTGTACTCCTGACAAGAAACAGCCTTAGTAGCCCGTATTTTCAAAATTGACAAGAAATGGTTGGGTTCAGTGCCTAGCAGCAAGTATTTTATAAACTGGAACGAAATGGTTGAGTTCAGTGGCCAATAGACTGAAGCGAGAAGTAATTTGAACGATAATCAAATATATTTTTTCAGTTTTGATGACTTGAAAAGCCATATCGAGTGACGTGCACAATTAAGGGGCTTGGAGGATTTTTTTGTCTGACACAACGTTTCTACATCAGAACCAAGAAATATTTCTTTCGTAGTGCTGCATATTATCTAGGTGATAGTCCCATCTTAACACGCTTGAAAATCAGCCTTAAGGCACCGTTTGTCAATGGTATTAGATACTATTTAAAGCAACAGGAAAAAAAAAAAAAAAACTGATGAAGTGAGAAAAATGTTAGGAATGGATATTTGGAGCACCGTCTTTATGCTGTCTGATGATCCCTGGCAGTAGTCTCCCTCGCATCCGTTTTTAGTGTCGGTCGTCACGCAACGTTGCGTGACGACCGACACTAAAAACGGATGCGAGGGAGACTATCCTGGCAGTGATGAGAATCTAAAATGACACACGGCCGCTAAGCCCTTGATGTTAAGTCTGCTACCATGGTAACGCAAACATTCCTGGAACACGAAGTCAAGTACAAAAGCATTTGTGTCTTTGACGATGAATCTAAATGAACGGAGATAAACGAACTACTGTATACTCAAAGGAATATTATAGATAGTTCTTACCGAGCCCCGCTCCATTGCGGCAAACTGCGAGCAGTTTATTTGTTTACATGAAGATTAAGTTGTCCACATACAATGCATTCTAATACAATTACGCCTTCCTATCTTGTCTGAGAATATTTGCTCATAAACGTTCGCACACTACAGCTTTTCTTGTGACCACAATAGAAACAAGTGGATATAATTATGAGAAAACATTGAAAAACATTTGCTCGATAAATGGGGAACAAAAGACGGCGAGTTAAGAGCCGTGGGATATTTTCATTACGGCTCGTTAATCAGGTTTTGTCGTTGCTTTGCGTTGCCCGGCTCACGAAGGGATGCAAAATAAAACATGTTAAACTCAGACACGTTTCACAGACGTTCTTGGTTCAATTTTTTATTCAATTTATTATTATTATTCTTTGTCTTGGAATTTTTGCTCATTATAATGATATAAAAAGCACTATTATTTTACTAAAGCGATTATTGAAAAAAAAAATCTCCAGAGATTCCTGTTGCCATGATGTAATAGTTCCGCAATGGCGTGGTGTCCTTAAGGAAGTAATTGGAATTTTGCTAAATTTTTACGGCGTTTTCCTTTTTGTTTGGTATTTTTATACTACAAACATCCAAGGAATGAATATTTCAGCTATTTACGTCCCAACCAAGCAATCTTAGGATGAAAATAAACCCATGGTTTGAGTTTTCTGAACTTTCCCACGAAGACAAAGGAGAAAACGCAAACACGATGAGAAACCCGATGCCCTACCCCGACAATCGTGTTTACAGTGCAAATAAAACGTGAGCTAAAGCCTTGAGTTTGAAAATTTGGAATGTTTTTGTAAGGAAGGCATATATGCTATCAGTTCCCGAGCTATTCACAGACAATTGCTTCGCATTCTTTGAAAATTCTTTCTTATTGACGAAACAATCGCGTCTTGGGTGGTATTGGAATCTGTCCCTCGCGCCCTTTCGCAATCTACTCGACCATCAAAATCGACTGGTCACCCTTGAAGTTTAGATAGCCAGATAAAAGATTTCCATCGTAAGCTTGCTGACAGGCTTCGTTTATTTAATATTCAATTGTGATCTTGCACCGAAAATAGATTGGCTTCTGTATTGCTCAAGAACATTGTTCGTGCCAATTTTTATCTTCCTAATCTAAAGCACGGAGGACTTGTCATGATTAAACAGTAACAGTTTTTGGCCAAAAAAAGTGATTTTCACTAAGCTGTAATTGAGTTTCTTCTCCCTGAAAATGATTCTGGGATTGAATGATTGTTCTATGTATTTGTACCAGATGTGTACAAAAATAATGGCTTCCAACAGTTCGTGTTATGAAAGGTTTAATCCAATATCTACACACCTTATGAGATCTTACAAATTTATTCAACGTGTTTCTCTATGAAATAGTATCTTTCGAATCGAAGAATCGTCCAGGTTCTTAAGAAGACAGAACGTAGAATTTCTGGAAACAGTTGTTCTAGATTACCGTTTTTACTAATTGAAAATAAAATCCCATTTCGTATCAACTTATGTTTATTAAGTCATATCTAATCGTCTTCTTCATCGGTGTTGAAACGACACATTCTCGTCCTGATAAGCGCAATAAATGTCGCGTGCACAAGGCGATAATACTGAGTTGTCCTACGCAGGTCAAGTTTTGCCAAGCGATATTGATTAAAAAATTTAACTTCTAAAACTATAATAACAATAAACAAATCGTTTCTTTGAACTGTAAGCAACAGAGAATTGAGCTGCAAAAATTATGATGGAGCTTTGCCGCTGAATGTTCCTGACAATGGCATTGGTGGCTTTGTCGCCCTGTGTTTATTAAATAAAAAAAGCAAATAATTAAACATTAATGAAAAAAATAATGATAAAATAAAGATAAGCAAGTAAATAGAACTGATAATAAGCTAGTTTATCGTTTTCAAAATTCTTATCCTCCATGAGATTTCCAAACAGTGCTCGATATTCCAAACTACTTACAGTCCAGCTTATTTGAAGATGTTCCACTACATCGTTGATATTGTTTGCTAAAGAATATTACTAAACAGGATATTTCTTTATGCTTTAAAGATGAGCTACGTTTATTTTATAAATAACAAGATTTGTTTTAGGAAAAAAAGCACGAAGCACCAGGTTTGAAAGCAGTGATTTTGAACGGTGAAACACGAGACAAAACGACATATCACTATAGATGCCCCTAAATTATGTCAATGTATAGCGTTTTGTGAAATCAGGTTTTTACTCGTAAAGCAGGTGTTTATAACTTCAAATTGTTAAGTTCGAGAGCATTTTGGCTTTAAATAAATCTTAGTTTCAAATTAATATAAGAAATCAAAATTGGCAGATTTGCAGTGGACTCAGCGTGGCACATTCATTTCCAAAGCAGGCATTTTGCCTGTTGCCCGGCGACTTCCTTCGAAGAGAAATATGAATTTGTGCAAATATTGCACTAATTTAACTATCAAATTAAATTTTAAAAATGTATTTCAATTGCCTACTAGTTTTACACGTTGAAATTTTCAAGTTTTAACGTGATTTCTCGTCAAGAATTAGATTATTACAAGATGATCTGTCGAACAGCTCTAAGGCGTCGCTTGCAACACTTTGAAAATACATTGACACCTTTAGTTTTGGGATGTCCGACGTGGACACACAGGAACAAAGGGTGGTTTGTAGGAAAATATAATTAAACAATAAATAAAGTCAAAAGCAGTCAAATTTGAGTTTTATCTGGGGTTTTGACCATCGCTTTGTGACTTTTTTTTGAGGTTTTTGTCAAGAAATGGCTGCCCATCAAATCTGCCAAACCGCGTTTCACTTCTAACCGGAACTGTATTTCGAATTGATCTAAATCCTTCTTAAAGACTAACGAGCTTTTGGCAAGTAAATAGCATTAGCTGTAAGTTTGGTCGACGTGAGAGATTAATGTGATGTCCAAATAAGATCATTTTTATCTTTAAGCGGGTAAAAAAAATGTTGACAATGATTTATCTTGTCAAACAGCAAAACGTGTTCAAGCATTGAATATCTTTTAGCGAAAACTAAAAGCCAGGGCAATTTGAAAATAAATACGTAGGTATTGGCTGAAAACTTATTATCAGTTCTAAGTCAATATTTTATATTGTTATCTGGAAATGACTGTTTGGAGTATCTCATAGCAGGGCTAGAGATGAGATAGGGAAATATGAACACTACATTTTAAGGCTTGCAATAAAGACCCTTGGAAATGCTCTTGGATACCAAATAAAATCGCGCGTTGATTATCTTACTTAGCGACAGCTGAGACTCAATTTACTAAAGCTTTTTGGGGCATTTTCAATTCTGTTTATACCATGAATGTGAAAGTTCTGACATGGAACATCGGCGCTTAAATGAAGACTAAGTCCACCAGCTTATCAAAATCGTTCGTTGTATATGATATGCTTCTCGTTCGCTAACCACAAGAACAAAGCGATAAAAAATTAAGCTGTATCTAGTATTGTGCCGGTCCTACGCTAAAGTAAAACGAGTTTTAATTTGTTTTCGTCTCGTTTGTAATCAAAATGACACGATTTTAATTATCAGTCTACAGGAACGTGAATCAGGGAGGCGAGTATATGACACTTTACTGCTGTAGCTGCAACTTGGAAGGCAGTTTTAAACGAGGGGAAAAACAATATGTGCATAAGGAAAACAAACAGCATTAACTACATCCTCAATACCTGCAATTTCGTGCTTGATTTCGTTGGCAGCAGCGGGTTTAGGCCGTGCAAACATTGCCCAGACTTGACAATGTCGGAACAAACATGCGGACGATTTTTCTTCCTATTTATCTTTTAATGCTTACAAAGCAAAAGTTCGAGGTCGACAGTTATGTGAAAGGTTTCTGAAGAGTGACATTGTCGTGGATGGTCCAATAGTGATGAATATGAGATGGAAAAGCCTTTTAGGACAATGTTAAAGTTAACAAAGAATTATTACGACTGAGGACGAGGAATGGACAACTGGGGAAAATTTGCGAGTCGACAAAATTGGAGATTTTTTTAAGTAAAGGGATTATAATAATAAGACTAAATGTATATAAATGCTTACTTGAAAATTATGTTTTATGAATGAAATGGAATTTGAATTTTTATCGAGAAAAAAAAAATTCTGGAAAAAAAAAAAAAGGATGATACATTAACGAAAAAAGCAACTTCGACATATGTCCAAAAATTTCATTACTGGGATAAGGATAATTTAGACATATCAGTTATGGATACACTGATGTTAGAAATATTATCTATCCTAATAAAATTTGTTAATTTGTAAAAAGATTGAAATCTTTTCAGCGTCTTCAAAAATATAAGATTTGTTTGAAATTGCGTAGAAAGAAAAGGAAATATTTTCATTTTTTTTTCTTTTTTTGAATTTCTTGTGCATTATTAATATTAAATAAAATAACTGATGCGGATTATTTTTTTAAAGTTTTCTTTTTATTCTATTAAAAAAAGTTGAGCAGAATTTAGGATACACCATATGATACCAGGTTGGAAGAAAGTTCGGCCGGAGTCAAAAAGCAAGGACGATTGGAATTTTCAATCAAATCAAACTCAGCCGAATCTAATCGAAAGTCCAATAAGTACAAAAGAATACTTCTGCTTCGCTGAAGATATGATTTTCAAATCATGTCGTTCTCAAGTGCTTCAATGAAAGCATGATTTGCATTATTCAAATCGTGTAGCAAAAACCAGTGCGCGCTTGAGGCCATAGGCATAATTTTTATCTCAGAGGGCTTTTGGGAAGAATATGAATTTTCGTAGCATTTCTAACCAACCTATGAAACAGCCACCAACAGTCACAGCAATTTTTTTCTGGTTAGCAATATAAGCTAGAATGATCGCGCAGTTATTGGCAATTCGAAGAGCAGATGGACGCCTAAAATAGTTTAAGGATATGGCGTTGTTTAGTATTTGAACGACCACACATTCATTGATATGGCTCGACTGAACTTCACCAATCGTATATAGGCTTTCATTAAACGTTGTCCTATATATACGGTCTGCTTTGCTGACATTTTAGGTCTGCAAAGACCAGTTAAAAAGTGTTGGAAGGCAAAGCCCTAGAGTGACTATTTTTAGAAGACAAAAGAATCTCATGACTGTGAAAGCATATATGTATATATAGATATGAACACTGACAAAGAGTCCGCCATCTGGAAATTCTTGGGTGCACCAATATCGCTGCTCGTACGCCATGCAAATGATTGGGTTAAAACAAAACAAGTTCATTGACAGTGCACTGAGTTATGACACGAGAAAGATTAGCCACGAAAACACTGGTGTGATGCCCAAGACTTGTTGTCAATAAAATCTAAGAATTTGTCGTAAGAAAAGAATACTAAACGTCTAAATTTTGAAATATTAGGTGACAGGTTTTCAGAATTGGTGGACAGGTCTCGAATCAAATCAGGCACGGGCTTGCATTCCACTCGTCAAAATTGCTTTTCAACTATTAGCTCAACAAGCACCTGCGTCTATGGAAAACCATTGACGCGATATCATTCCCAAAATATCTTAATTTCAACCGACTCCCTTTACATTTTTTTCGGTGAATAAATACCATGAATGATTGACCATAAGTGAGGAGAATAATCTAAGGAGAAGAAAATATATCGTCTGAGATCATCAACGAAAAACTCCCGCCTCATCCGTATCGATTAGATGTCACGTTAAGATGTCGTGGTCGGACGAGATATAAGATATTTTTTTTGAAGTTTTAGTTCTTACTTGAGCTAATATTTTTTTGGATGTCTGTGAAACGAGCTGTCAGAAGACAGTAATTCATTGATAATGATTATCGTCTGAATCTTCTCCAAAACGAAACCTAAGAATGACAGTATTGAGCGAAACAGGGCGGAGTTCGTTATGTCACTTTAAGGAAACGAAGTCTTCAGTCCACAGGTGACAAGTATTGTGCTTGTGGCACCGAATAGTCGCAGGAACCTTTATCGTAGTCACGGCGGACATGTGACAGATTGCATTGGAAACTAAGCATCATCTTCCTTTAGAAGCCAAACGCAGGCCAAACAACAGTCTAATGAGTTAAGGATAATAATTCTATCGAAGGAGCTACTACAAAGAAAATTCTTGGGATTCTGTTCCTTGTAATCAAAAATTGCCTGGGGACAAGTTGCCACAAATTGGATATTTGACTGGGGGCCAAAAATAACGATTAAAACACATACACCAATATGTTCCATGGACAGAAATGTGATGTTTGTTCTTTAAACAATAAGTTAAGAAAATAATCATAATGATAAAAGAAAGGAAAAAAATAAAATAAAATGAAGAAACCTTAAGGCATATATATCCATGGAAATGAGATCATGATTTTGTGTATATAAATATGGTAATATTGTTGAGCTCGATCCACTTAGATCAATCTTATAGGATGTTATGATATTCAAGTAATAATCTATAGTTATAGTAACCATCATATGAGGATTGCTCTTTCTATCACTGCATGTATATAATCTCTCTCTCTCTCTCTCTGTATGTACATGGACAGTTTATGTAAGAGATATATTGGAGCAGTCCATAACCATTACATCAAACAATCTTATCAGCATTATTCTCTAGGAACTCTTTTCCAGCTTTGTCCAATACCTCGAGGGCAAACCAAACACGGATCAAAATAACAATAAATATTAATAAAGAGGAAGGGAAATTTGTCTCGAGGATATGAATCAAATGTAGTCCATGTTGTGAGAGCTTTAATAGAAAGTTCAGGCACATTGGGGATGGATACTGACAATAAGCAAGCAAGCAAGGTGCCTGCCAATAGAGATATTTCAAAGATATATATATACAACTAGATATGGAATTTTTGTTTAGTTTGCCTTGGCTTTCAATCTTCAAACGATAAAATATTATATATATAGTAATCAATATTTTTGCTGTTCAGTGCTAGTGTTAAAGATGACCTTAGTACAAGGCATCTTCAACGAATTCATAGTCTTTGGATGTGATTTTTCGTAGCCTTGTATTGTCTTTCGCAGTTTTCTCTCAAAYCACCTTGGCACGGAAAGAAAGAGATCGAAAGAAAGATGTTTTCGTGTGTAAAATATTTAAAATAGACTTGAATGATGATGTGAATTTTATAGAATGAGGTATTAATTTCCTACTGAAGAAGTGATTCCATCTGGTTGATGAGGCATCCCTCCTTGGGCTTGCTCCGAAAAATGAACCTAAAACAGAAAACAAAGACAACTCAATACGGGAAATCACTCTCTTCCTATCCCCGAGGCTTTAAACATTCATGGCAAATGATTCGACCTTCCGTGCACCAGCCCAGACATTCCAATTAACAAAGAAAAACATGACTAAGACAATCACCAGTAAAACGGGCTATAATTTGGCTCGTTTTGCGTGAAAACCAGAAAAAATTAGAATTGAGAAAGAAAATATGTACAAAATTAATTTGTCCCTGGTGTATTTTCTTCATCATTTGGGGGAAGAAAGTTGAGGACTTAATGTTAAATGGGGGCGAGAGATTATCATTCTGAGGAAGCAAAAGATATAAACATCGGCGACAGAGATCTGGATGACTTCGAGAGGGGTTTGGCATAATCTTTGTAATTCTAACGACATACAACGCTATCTTATCACTTTAGATCGCGAATCTCAGAGTAAAACTAAATGATTCTGTTAGCTAATGAACAATGTTACATGCTCGAATCGTCCGCAAATGAACAGAGCTATTTCTCTGGATGTTTTTATGAAGGGAAGTGAAGGGTAGAGAGTTAGTTTATGATGTATTAGAAAAGTGACAAGCGCTTGGGTGCGAAGACTTGTATCTTGCTAAGCAAACTTTTTGAAAGCAACCAGTCTATTGTTTTTTGATGGCTATTCTTTGACGATGAGCCACATGCTGAGGATGAATCGATCTTTTTGTTGCAAGATAAAAGGACACACGCTCAAACTCTTTGAAGAGAATTTCAGGCCAAACACTGATTTCTGGTTGGAGTTTTTTTAAAGTTTAGGTCAACGAGGTCCAAACATTCGAACAGTTTTTTCTCTCGGAGCCAACGGAGATGAAGTGATCGTAAACAATAGATCCATACTTGGTCCATCCAAGTGTATCGGTTTGAAAATTATTCCATGTTGGGTTGAATCAGCAAGCCAACATCTATATGCAGAAACGAAGTATAAAGCAAACAGATATCGGACAAGAATCACGGTTGTAAACTTAATTCTTTCGGCGTAAATTGATTTAGCTGTGCTAACAATACAGAGACGAGAATCAAAAGGGAAGACTTAGTTTGAACATAGAACAGCAAACAACGCGTAGCATTTCAGACAGGAGGGGCTTTGTGCGAGTCTTAGTATGTTTGCGTGTTCTTTAGAAAAACTGGTAGAACTCTTTCACTATGGTTCAATATGACAAGATTTTATGACACTCATAAATTTTATTTTGAGGGGAACCCCTCGACAGCCCGGTAAACCAAATTAGGACCACATGAAGAGCGTACTTTAGGATGTATCTTAATCAGTTTTCCGTGAGAAACGAGCTATGGACCATTGTATGTTCAGACCGAAGGAAAGTATTTAACCAGTAAGCGATACACAAGCATCAAGGACAAACATGGACCAGACACGAGTAATTGTAAAGCGATTGAAATTTGTCAAAAGGTGCGAAAATATGAGCTTGGTCATACTAATTTCTAGGTATACGATAAAAGGTCATTTCCATTCTGATGACTTTACGATCAATTAGCCTTACTAAATCTTTATCTTTAAAATTCTGCCATCAAAAATCCATTTATTTAGGCCATTATTTTTTAAGAAAGAAAAAAAATGTGCAGGGAAATTTTTGTACACCCGAGAAAATTGTGACGTGAATATCAGAACGTTTTTATCCTATTTTCTTAGAATCATTTATTCAAAGATTTGCTCAACTATCTGACTATGGCGCATTTACAACGTCGCTCGAACTAAATTGAAGAAAAAAATTTGGGGATCAAAATATCGATAAAAATCTCTAAGTCGGAGACACCTTGGGTGATCAAGCGGGTCAAAGTTTTGATTAAGTCTTTTTCCTTTTTTTTTTTTTTTTCTGACAAAAAGAGTAGTCTGCAATTTTTATTATTGTTAAATTTAGCTTGGATGATAAACAAAATAAGAGACAAATAAATGAATATATCTAAAAGTGAAAATATTCGGAGTCAAGGTTATTAGAACAGAATTTGACAGACATCTCGGAGAGGTGTTGCATATTAGATTTAACTTGAGGTATATCGCATCCTTGAAAGAGTATTCGAAAATCGTGCAAATCGTGTACAACAATTGTACCAAAAAGGTCACTTTTGAGTAAGAATCGAACATGCCATCGTATGAGGAATGATCGTGAAGGATGAAAGGATAATGGTAGTTGATGGGAAACGACTGAATGGTAGGAATATCCCAAAATGAAAGCCCCAAACCGTTTCGGCCCGAGGCAAGGAGTACAATATCATAAACTAAAGAAAAGATTGAGCCATCTTACCAATTGTTGAAATGCACCCTGATCCATATCGTTGTGCATCGCAAAGTCACTCAAAGCCTTCCATGGCTGGTAACTTGATATATCACTCATATTTACATCGGGTCGAATTGATCCAGAATTAGGTCCGTATGGGACGCCCGAAAGCGATGTCATGGATTGCTGTGGAGACATACTGTTGGGAGTCTGTGTAAGAGATACACAAGGAGTAGTTTTAAGAAGTTGAATTGATGATTAATAAATTAGCGGGGTGTCAATAGCGACAAGAGGGTTATACGAAAACAACCATAGGAAATCCCAGCAGGGTGCAAAACCCAAAGAACAAAGCTCGCAATTCATCGCTACATCAAAATAATCTGAAAAATCCACTAGTGCTCATGCCATGGCTAACCCATGATTGACCCTTAAAACGTGTTCAACGGGTAATAACAATGCGAGAATATGAAACTAAAGAGTCATGTCTTTGGACTAACCACTATAAAGCGATATTATACAACTAGTTCTCGCGATTCATTGATTAGATCGCACTGACATGAAGGTCAGGCATGACCATTAATTTCTAATTCCAAGACGCGATCAGTTGCGGAAATTTTTTTTCTTCGTATCCTAATTTCCCTCGAGTTATTTATATCTGTCCTCGGTCTGAGCATTGAGACCGGAAAGGACGATAAAAAAGTGGTCACCACTCTGACCTCTTCAAAGGAAGCTAATCGAATCCCAGAGCTGAAATTTCTACCCAAAAGAACTGCTCTACCAAATTATTAACACTTTGCCTCTAAATACTGCTAATTAGCGCTACAAAAACGACAAACTCCTTAGGGAATTAAAAATGGAGATCATAGGGACTAAAGTCAGCTTAAGTCGTGAGACCCGAGCGATAACTGCGAAGTATCTTTGATAAAATCGTGATTGAAAACAGCTTGAGTTTAATAAATTACAGATGAACGCGTTTGTTGTGTTAGTGTTTGAAGGTCGTGGGATTCATTGCCAGGGACCATCTTACCTGAATGTCTTCAGATCCAACGCTTTGTTGATTTGCATTTTGCGATTTTAGGATAAAAGTAGCTTTCTTTTTGTCTTTGCATCGTTTGTTTTGAAACCAAACTCGAATTACACGAGGACTGAGTCCCGTCATTTCCACTAGTTGTTCCTTCATCATTGCATCAGGCCTTGGATTAGCGTTGTAGCAAGTTCGTAATGTGTGTAATTGTTTTTCATTTAGCACTGTTCGTACCCGAGTTGGGCGATCTGGTTTTCGTTTTGTAGTTCCTTCGCTCTGAGATGGGTTTGTTTGACCTAAAAAAGATAAAGAAAAAGGAAAATAAACGCGTAGGAAAATAAACTGTTGTAAAATCTACGTGTATAGTGGTTCTATTTTTGTCCATTTTGAAAAGATCTTCGCTCGATCTTCAACACGCTCGAGGCTCCCTCCTTGGATCTGTAGAACTAAACATTTTTATCAATAAAATGTAAGGAGCGATTACTCATTTTAAAGCACAGACGATGTGACGAGTCAACAGTCACATTGCTATAATAAGGCTTTATAGGACCGGATGTGTGTTGTATCAAAATCTTCAGCGACAATTTTCTGCAATAATAACCACTTTAGCTCACCGAGGAGATCGGTTTTGCTCGCCTACATCAAGCTTAGGGTTTACAATATAGCTTTCAAGGCTATATATTTTCCGTGCTTGAAGAACCTTCGGCTTTCGTGTCACAGACACTTACGAGTGTTGAAGCCCATTGAGAGCAATAAATAAACCAACATCTATGATCATTACTGATTTGAAGAGTTTGCTTTAGGGTTTGATCAGTGATCTGAAATAGGCTCCTTCAAAGGCGATTGAACATATACAGCAGACAATAATTCGAGAGAGATCATATTCAGCTGTATCGTCCGTAAATTGCTCAAGAGGGGGCAAATGGGAACCGTCGATAATTCCCCTTGAAGGACTTGATTGGATTTTAAAATCTCACTCAGAAAGTGTATATTTGATCTGTACGGTGAATGCAAGTCCCTAATAGTGTTATCGCACCCCAATTTGATTACGGCTCGATAACCAGCTAAGAACAAGAGACCTACCGCATAGCACTATACCTAAACAACTTACCCCCCGACTGCGAGTTGCGTTGGTTATTGCTAGTCCGAGCGTGAGTTGCTTGAGCCGTTGCTGTAGCCTTTTCCACAATTTCATGGTCCTCCTTGCAGAAGAGACCGTCTTCCCGTAGAGCGAATTCATCTCCGGGTACGAGTTGTCGACTACATGCCACACATCGAAAACAATCGATGTGGTAAATTTTATTCCTCGCTCGCATCACAAAATCGTTTTTGCTGAAGTTCTGCAAGCACTTCGCACACTTGGTTCCAAACAACCTGTGGGAGAATGTTGAGGATTTAGGAAAGTAAATAGGTCGGTTTGAAGAACAACTTTAGCAAATATATCTATTTCCTACTCTCATAGTTGCTGACCCAAAACCAAAAGATCTAATTGAATTTACGCATTGAAAGCAGCCGTATAAGACCTCTCGTTCTACGTACAAACCAAACACTTATAAGATCACAGCTTGTGATTCCAAAAAAGTAGATCAAAAACCGCGAAAATAAGATGTATTTCGTGTCTCCTGCTTCAAAATACGAGATACTTGCCCGCCTTGGCAGCCACAATAAGCCGTAGGCGGAGTCGGGCAAATTTTGCGTGTGAAATACAATTTCTGAAAGTCCAAACTTTTGATTCTTGGTGTGAAGATGGTTGTCATTAGGTACATTTAATTTTAGTGTGAATGGTTTAATCTTTTTTTAAATGCAGTCAACGGGCTACAAAATGCCCGTACTTTGGCTGCAGAACTGAGTGCATCAGTCAAGATACGCTTGCTTCAGTTCTGTTGTTGTGCTGTCAGTCCAACAATATTTTGGACTCCAGAGATTTGTAACAACAAATCCATTCTAACTCCTCAATAATGATTATTATTAGAGGAATATGACTATTGAACGAAGATTTGACGTCTACAAAGTCCCGAATCCCGCTACCAGCAAGGGACACCGCAAATTCCCTCACTTTAACCTCACTCACCGAACATAATCTCGTTTGCAATAGGTTTTGCCTTCTCGCACGAAGCAAGTGCACGTTTCATCTAGATACGTATGGCAGTCAGCACACTTGAGACAGCTAGCATGCCACTCCAAATCTGGAGCAACACGCAGAATATACTGATCGTGAATCTGGGAGCCACATCCAACACACATTGACACTCGACGCTTCTCTGAAAAGAGAACACAGGAATAACACTAGTAAGACTTCGATTGGAGCGTGACAGGAAATGCCCGCAGTGGTCGCACCAAATTGAACCACGCTGCCACACAGTACTGAATTTTATTCAAGCGACCTCGTCAGCCCAGAAGAGAGTTTACCCCAGTTCACGTACTTTTCGCTGTCTGATCACTCATCCTACGTCCCGCAATAATAGCTATATACTGTGCGTTATCTTCAGTCAAGGATTACAAGCAAAGCGTGTACACCAGCTGATGAAACGAATACTTCAAAATTCCGATCTCTCATGGGGACCATTCATTATGACGGTTGGCTGAAAGGTGACATCACGTGACAAACCCTGTCAATGAGCGAGTGTTTATTGGCTAGGTGGTAAACCGAAAATTTCACAAATTGGCGCCTGATGTGAAATTAGACGATTGTCATTGGATGACCACCTTTCAGCAAGTGTCAAGCTCTTTAGATTTGAAGATTACAAACTTTGATAAGCGCAGGTGGGAAGGGGACACAGAGATCAAAATTTCTGTTCGGTCTCTCGAGTTTCTCAAGTCATTCTTTCCCGAGTTGGACAAGCTCTGGGTGTTACACGAGGCTGCAAGCATTAATTTTGAGGCACTTCGTTTGTACATTTGGTTTTAATCGCCTGAGCGCGCGATGAACCCGTGCGAGACTGAAGGCTGTCAGCATGTAAAAGAATACCATCAAGATCATTCGTTGGACAATGACAGTCAATTATTCGAGAATTGTTTCTTGCTTTTCCACGTGGCGAGTAAAGGATCTCGTTCTCTTAACTACATAATGGGTCCCTTACTCGATTTTGAAGCTACTAACTGGGGAGATAGACAAGCAGAAAGTATATTCTATATTCTCTCCTCGCGCAAGCTTTTCGAACCCTCGGGGATTTTTATTGGCAACGTGTCAAGCTGCTTCGATGTCGTTCTCATTCATGTCATTCTCTCAGTACCTCCGCAAATCTAGGGTTTGTTTTACCAATATAGATAAAATAAGACAGCGCAGACGAAACCCGTCCGCCTTGTCATCTCTTGTGTTCAAATCAAGCTTAACGCAAGAATACAGATTCCTAATTAGGCGAATATATAACGCCAACCTCCAAATGAAATTCTATATATCCTTGTTAACGACTCCGCCCAATCCATCACTGATATCTAAACGGATTAGTTAGTGTGTGATTGTTAATGAGGGGCTTTGCGAATGATATTTTAACCTCGAAGAGTTGTCTACGAATCGAGAACGCAAAAAACGTCTTATCTATTGACACAAATAGGCATGGAAAATATTTACCTAAATTCTAGTTCTATTCAATAGTTAAACAAAGAAAGTATTCAAAACAGTGATGAGCCACACAAAAGAAAGAAAGCCCTTTGTTATCTCTCCTGAAGTCTTGGTTTTAAAAAACCATTCAAAGTTGTCAAGTCGTATCTATTGATCGTCTAGGGCAAGGCGAGAGTCTATTGTACGAAGATCCAAGCTAATTTCCTTAATAATTGGCTGTGTCACTTTTGAAAGATGTGATGATCTCATTAGCGAAATGCTGGAGCCCAGACTCCTTTAATGTGGTCTTAACTCTCTCTTTTAGCTAACACTTTGGTGCTTAAGTCTTACACAAGTACGCATTTGGATTTACAGAATTATTCTGCTAGATAATATGTTAGGTGGAAGTCAGGGAAGATCAGACGAGGAATGAAACTATAATCACAAGGCATTCACAAAACAGACAGCGCTGACTGACTGACCTTAGAGGCTTCAGTGGTGACAATTTCTGAAGAGGTCATAAAGATACGAAACAAGGCAGATCAAAATACACGACTGATCAATACGAATATAATAACAAGGCCCTAGAAATCTATATAGTCTTCAAACATGAGTGTATTTGGCTGATATATGGATGTAGAGAGAAGACTTTAGGTTTCAACACAGAAGACGATTGAAAACAATTAACCACAACACGAGCAATGTCTTCCATAACCTTCTGTCGACATTGAAATAGCTATGAAAACACGGCTTCTATTTGAACTAAAACCTAAACGAACATTGCTATCAAAAGAAAAGGAAAAATATCTTTATAATATTTGAATTTTTAAGGATACTTTTGATAGGTTTGGATTCATTATTGGTGTCTCAATAAAATGTAAATATATATTTGTGAAAAATCTGACATTCAATGTAGTAGAGATTTCAGATAAAATAAATCATAAAGTTGTAAAGTTTTCAACTGACGGATAAACTGGGACTGAAGATATTTTTAATTGTAATTTTAGAAGTGCCATCTTTTGTTATTAATAGTCAAAAAATTATGACAAATTATAGACATGTTTTTCAAATCGTACACTGAAATGAATTCCGTTCTAAAAATACGCAGAATTGTATCGAAGTCAAAATAAAAGGTCGTTGAGTGAGAGCCATTTATAATTTAGAACTAGCAGATGTTTTGCTTTACGAAAAGTTGAGATGAATGGCACCTTGTTGACGCGATGTCAGGGGAAATATTCACAAAACAAACTCCCTAATCATTCACAAATTAAAAACATGCCCTCGAGGAAGCAAACTAGATGCCTTCGTCGTTGCTCGGGCAATTTATGGTCGAAGATATCGATATTAAAGTTATAAAACAGCCAGTCTGTTAATCTACACTATAATGAACCAGCATGAAATAACTTTTTTTGTGTGTCTTAAGTAAATATTACTATATCTATAGCACTTTGCAAAAATTCTGTAAAGAAAATGAATAGAAAAATATCTCGGGTGCATTGAAAAAAAAACCCGGTTAAATACAATATTTTCGGTGAAATGTGATCATAGTGTACATTGGAAGCATTAATACTAGATATTTGGCTAACTTTTGGTTGAAAATCGTTATATTTAAAGAATCTAAATATGCAAATTAGTTTATATATGGATATATAGATATACTTGACTTTTGCAGAAGTTTTGCAAATCACTATATATATATATATATACACTTGATTGCAGAAAGGTTGTAGTATACATTTATACA